GTTTCTTCCTGTTAAAAGGGAGTTTTTCCTCTCCACTGTCTCTACAAGCATGCTTAGTGTGAGGGATTGCTGAAGAGTCAATGAGTCGATGCAATCAACTGGTTTTCCTTAGATCGAAAACGTTAAATCAATCGGACTGTATGATCTGGTTGAATTGTCTCTGTAAAGGGACCTTAGAGGACATGTTGTGACTTGGAGCTATAGAGATAAACTGAAATGAATTGAATTGGAAAGCAGGCCTCCCAACATAGAGCCTTCAGGAATACCAGCGAAAAATAAATCCTGTTAAAAATGCCATTTTCTGGTTGCTATAAATACATGGAAATGCTAATTAATTAACTAAATTCTACATTTTTGTTTTTAAAAACATAAAAAATGATCCCATTAATAGAGACTTGAGGAACTTCATGAAGAATTTCTATTACAGGATTCACTGCATTAAATCTGTCTTTCACAGGAGACCTGTTCTATTTTATTCCGTGGAAGAACATCTCATTCTCTAACAGCCTGATTCCATCTGTTGATTTTAAAATAAGAGAAATCCAGTGTGTAATATAGCCATGCATTTTCTTTACATCTAAATAAAGGATTATTAGAGCAGCAGAGGGCTAAAGGTATCCCCAGCACAGAACAGATAGGCTGAGTTCCCACCAGAGGAGCAGGACTTATTTTGTCTGTTTCTGTCAGGAACAACATTGTTTCCATTTTTTTCTAGATTGAGAACATCACAATCCAATGTTTAACTTTTTAAGTTTACATTTGGGAAGTTATGTGAGTAAATTAGTGCAGCAGAAACAGATTAAAAAAGGGTCCCCAGCATAGAGACCTGAGGAACACCACTGAAGACTCATGCTAAGTTTTCTACTAGTTGACCTGTCTGTGTCTCCATGTCAGGGAGACCAGTGTTTCCATTTCTTCCAGTTGAAGAACATCTCATTCTGTGGCTGCCATCCCAAACACAGCAGGTATGTCGACAAAATCTACTTGAATCATTTCTATGTAGAACCGCTCTCAGAGTTCTGTTGAAGGTTGTGGAGTCACTGAAAGTTCTCCTTCCTGCAGACGTTTGAACCAGCAGAACATTTTCATATCTTTGTTCTGTTGCAGGTACTTTGGATTCATCACCAAACATCCTGACCAGCAGCGCTTCGCCTGCCATGTCCTGATGTCAGACACCTCCCTACATCCTCTGGCAGAGTCGGTCCGGTGAGGAAATATCTGCTTCCTTTTGTCATATTCCAATACCCGCCTGTCTATCTATAGATAGATCTATATATAGATAGATCAGTCAAAAGTTTGTGTTTCTTTTTAAGCATTTTAAGTAAATATCTGGTTTAAAAATTAGACTTTGTGTGAAAAGACTAAACTTTGGACCTCACCTGGTCTGTTTTTTGTTCTTTTCCCTCAGGAGGGCGTTCCAGCAGTACTACAAGGAGCACATCGGATATTCCTGTCCCACCGAGGACATCTTTATTGAATGAACCCTCCTCTTCCTCCTCTGGCTCCTCCACAAAACTGAAGACTCACTCTGTGCATGTAAGCCTGGTCTTACACCCGGACAGCATATCCTCCCTGCATGGTGGGTTTTTACTGAGTTTGCTGCATCAAAAGAGACGGCCAGGTCCATCTTTAATTGCCCGGGTGACCAGGAGAATCCCTCTATGATGGACACAACCAAAACAACTTAACACACCGAAATGTCCCCAACAGTCACTTTATAGTCATGCATTTATTAACAGAAAATATTTACATGTACCCATAATTAGATATTGTATTCAATGAGCGTTGACATCCAACATTTAGAGATGATGGGAACCACAGATGATCACTTTAACAGAGAGACACAACCTCTAGGAAGAGGCTAAAAGTGCTCAACTCACAGAAGACCGCAGCTGAGATACCAACAAAGACCACTAGATGGCATTAAAACAACTGCAAACATCGGTTACACTGGGGAGAAGAAGACGAGGTGTCCAGACAGAATCACAAATAAACAGAAAAAATACCAAAGGCCCAAATAAAGCTGGTGTAGTTTGAAGGCCCTCAATGATCCAAAGGCAGCGACAACAATTGTTTTACGCTTTAACTCTATTAAATCACAGAGAAACAATCTTTCTTTTTATAGTGGCTTTTATTCAGCCACACTGAAAGGTTCCCCCTGTGGAAGGCATCCAGACTTTGACTAGGCCACTCCCTTTATTTTGTTTCTTTCAATTATTCATACATCTCCTCCAATGTAACTAAGGTTTTATGGACTGATGGTCAGAATCTGCTGGTAAGGAGCAGAAGTTATGTTTCTGTCACTTACAGCAGGTCATTCTTGTGATCTGAGACGCATTCCTGCGGCGCAGAGTACCGTCGCTCCCGTCTTTGGGTCATTCAGATGTTTCTTGGCAGATGTTAGACAGATGTTCATGCTGATTTTGGCTCTGGACAAGCTGGTTTAGCCTGTTTTGGGCTCTTGATGAGTTGAAGTCCTCTTGGAGTAGTTTTAGTAGGGCGGCCCCTTGGGGAAGGGTTCGCCTCTGGTCCTTGTTGCACCTCACTGAGGTTCAATGAACTCCTGAAGCGTTAAATAGCGCTTTGCAGCACTTTCCAGGCTGATGGACGCCAGTGACTCTGTTTCTCATCTGTCTGGAGGTTCTTTACATCTGCACTGGAAAAACTATCTAAAAATGAGCAAAAATGTCTTTAATTAAGTGAATTTACTCTTAATTTGAGTAGATAAATGAGATGATTTGCCAATGGAATGAGTATTTTTACTCTTAAAATTAGATATTTGCATAAAATGCACTTGAAATAAGACAACGCAATTTTGTTTTCTTATTTTAAATGTAAATTGGCAACGTGTCTCACTTACCTCCTCAATTCAAGAACAAATTCACTGATTTTAAGAAAAAATGACTTGTCTAGATTTCGATTTTTTTCCAGTGTGGACATGACATCTGTTTCTCTGACATCTTCTCGCCTACATCATGTCGTTGGAAAGGTTCTTCATGGGATTGACAGGAATTCAATCGGCCTGGTTTGGACGCCACTTCCCTCCTAAAGAATTTTTAGGGTTGAAGGTCACAGCTAAAGCTGTTTAAAAACAATTATTTTTTAGTAATAATTACATAATAAAAGTATTAGTTTTCCTGAAAAAAGTATAGAAATAATTATTTTCCACAATATGTAAATATTTACAGTTGGTTACCATGCCAACATGGGCACAAACGATTCTGCACCAATAGGAGTAGTAGGTGGAAGTCAGGTGAGGTGGAGCTCAGGTGTTTCCAGATCCTAATGGCTCCATGATAGAGCTGAGAAATTCCTTCTTCTTCTCTAGTTTCAATTTCTATGATTAAAAACAAAAGAAAGGAAAATGATGGTGAAAATCAGTGAGCTTTAGAGCGTCAGTGCTAAGAAGCTGCTTATCTTCTGGAAAATGTTTACTAATGCTATCCATTAATTCAATTCAACCCAGTTTATTTCTATAGCACAAATTCACAACACGTCATCTCAAGGCACTTTACAGTTCACCAGATCATACAGTCACATTGATTTGAAGTTTTCTATCTAAGGAAAACCAGTTGATTGCATCGACTTAATTACTCGAATGCAATCCCTCACACTAAGCATGCTTGTAGCGACAGTGGAGAGGAAAAACTCCCTTTTAACAGGAAGAAACCTCCAGAGAAACAGGACTACACTGGAAAACAGGCAGATCTCCAACATCTATAAACAGGATGGAGTCACAGCCAAACAGGAACAGACGAGGCGAAGCTACTATGTGAGAGCAGAACGTTAGAGATTGAACTAACAGATTCTGCAGAGTGGGAGAATAGAGATAGAATGAAGCAGAAGGATGAAATTGGGGTCCCTATGTCCTCCAGCAGTTTAAGCCTATAGCAGCATAACTATAGAGATAACTCAGGATAACCTGGGACACTCTAAGCTTTATCAAAAAGGAAAGTTTTAAGCCTAGCCTTAAAAGCATTAGTATTAGTGGACCTGGCAATCGGGACAGCGAGGGAGGGCACCACTTAAAGCTGGTTAATTAGCCGGATATTTTGAATTAGAAGTACTTGTGAAGAGCTGAAACTTTGGATCATAACCATAAAAATCAGATTCATCAGAGCTCTGCTCGGGATGAATAAATATTTTCTTCTCTTCTTGTTCTTGTCTTCTTACATACAGCTTGGGGTTGATCTCAGTCTGTTGTTTCTCCCCCTGCTTTTTGATAACCAAGCAGAGGTTCTGATCTGGTCGGTTACCTGACCAAATGTCCAACACCTCGTTGATCTGATCTAGGAGTTACGTCGATCTTACTTTTCCATCATGATGGACAATCTGCAGATCCTCACCATCTTCTCCCTGAACGGCTGGAAGAAACTGCTCTTGAAGGACTTTCTGATCCATCTCCACTGCAACCTTGTTGCACCATGCAGGACTCATGCTGTTTCTCTTCTCCAGATGTCCAAAGTGATCAGAGGGAGAGATCAGCTTGGAGAACTTTGATGCTGCTGCAGAAACATTTGGAGCGTGGCTGCACCATCAGAGATGTTCTCGACCAATCAGTGGAGCTCAGATGTTTCTCAGCTATGATTCTTCTTAAGAACCACAGCTGGAGTTTAAATTCTCTCCTTAAACAGTTTTAGTGAAGCAAAAGCTGGAATTAATAACTCCTAGAAAGCAAAACATATGAAAACAGTAAAAAATTAACTGAACCGATTCAGATCGGCTGCTTAAAGATAAAGCATGATGACATCATGATGTTTTGTCTCGGGTAACAGAGCTTTATATGGTTTCCAATCCAAATGTAACAGTGAGGTTTGTGTCGGGATGTTCAGGTGCAATGAAGATCTCCATCAAACATCTATGCTCCTGGTTTTTTTTAAAGAATGAAACAGATTCTTAACTTAAATAATAGTTTCTCCACAAGAAGCTCAGGAGGGATTGTCAGACTTCATGAGCTCCATGGTAACAGAGGCCTTCATCTGATCACACAACCTGGACCTGCTAGTTTCCAGAAGCACCAAACCTGCATTTTCAGACATTTAGAGCAGACAATCTGATGTTTTAAAGGGGAAGATGCCTCATTTTTTGCTTTAATTTTTCTTCCAAATGTGACTGAAAACGTTGACGGGCGGGAAGAGTCGAACCCGAAACACTGCTGTGCAATCTGTGTGTGTGAGCGAGAGAGAGATGCTGTTCAGTCGTCCTTTCATCACTTTAAGACGATGTTTGTTCTGCTTTATCTGCTCAAATCCGGAGCCAAACCCAAAGAAAAAGCTGCTGAGAAAATAAGCAGGAAATGTTTTGGAAAGGTCACAGGAAAGATATTTCTAAAATGAGACGAGAGAAACTGATAAATATTAAAATAAAATCATATTTTCTGCTTTGGAATAATAAAAGTGGTGAAAACAATTGAATCTCAAGATGAAGGAAACTATGACCAAATTTAAACCGCAGAAATTGCAGAATTTGAACTCTTAGGTGTCATTTTCCCCTGAAAGTCTGAATCAGAAAATCTTTACTTGTGTTTTTGTTTCCTTCTTTAAACTCAATAGGAGTATTTTCTTCATGTAAATCCTCAGTTGCTGCTTTTACTCCAGAAACAAATAAGAACCTGGACTAGAACCCAGCAGTCTGGGAGCCACCCTGATAACCGGGTTCATGTCATGCTGCCCTCCAGTGGCCACAGCAGGCATTACAGAGTTTAGCTCAGATTGAGCAGATGAGGCCTTTGATCATGGAGCACCTTAACCTTATTTGTATACATTTGACAAGCAGTGCCTGTTTTTTTTTCTTCTTCCTCTTATTTTTCTGCACTAACTGGCCCCCTCCAGAAACACATAACCGAACCTACAAAACCCAAACAGATGAGTAGTCCTGTGATTCAGTCCGATCGGTCATGTCTAAGGTGGCTGCCATGAAAACAGTTTATTTAATGGAGCTGAGATCTACGGAAGAGGATTAGGGCCACTGGAAAAAAAAAAAAGTTAACTGTTTTTTTTTTTATTTTATTTCAGTATAGTATGGGAAAAAAGTCAG